TACACAGCATAAGTACATCAATATGTATCAGAAAATGTAATAAAAATTGGGGGTGATTTCGGAGTCATTTTTTGAAAAAAAACTATGGACTATAGCCTTGGGTATTTTTCAGGTTTAAAGCCATGCCACAGTACAGCGCCACATGTAGTTCCTTTACATTAAAGGTCCCAAGATGAAAGGATACTCCGATACCAGGTGCCTGCGTGTTCCATGGGGTCAGGTTTCTCTCTAAACTAATGATCAGAGAATAAGGTTGGACCAGAATCCTCTCAGCCACCACTCCCAATGTATTCCGATCAACCAGCACACTGCAATGAATAAATAATTAGATATAATTAAACACATTATTATAAGAAATAAAATACAACTAGGCGAATGTAAAACATTAAGGGGCGAGCAAAACGATTAACATTTCAATAACAATATACAATGTCTATGTAGACAATGATGTAGTGGCTATTAAATGTTTAATGATCAACCAGTATACTACAATGAATAAATAATGAGATACATATACACATACATGTACATGTACTATATACATGTATGCACATATTTATTAACTTAATTAAACTATTAATTAAATTTAACAAACTGCAATACTGTATACTACAATGAATAAATAATCAGATATAATTAAACACATTATAAGAAATAAAATACAATTAAAGTTATTCATTTATTAATTAAATTTAACGAACCGTGAGAGCTTAAAATTCTTAAGTGTCATTCCAAAAGTATCAATAGCACAAGCTCCTCCTTCTTCTCCTCCCTCTCCCTCAACCAAATTATTTTTAAGTTCAAATTCTCCAAGATTAATCATGAGGCCACTCCTCCCATCAACGGAGACAATAATGTTGGGAGCGTTCAGGATGAGGTGGAGTTGAACGAATTCTTCCCGAGCAATTTCGTTAGCTGCCAGTACGCCATCTTGAGCCACTTTAGTAGCCGATTTCACTAACTGAGGATTAATATCGATGCTTAAAGCAAAATCCTATACAACGATAAAAATGAATAAAATAATTATATAAACGTAACCATGGAAACATGCTCCACCCACTCACCAACAGCCTCTTAATAAGAGATGGGAATACGTAAAGTTGAACTTGAGCGATTTCAGCTCTGATGTTAGCTACTGGTGCCGTCGTAGCTATGGTAGGCAGCTGGAGTGGGACTTCAACCTATTTTGTTATAATGATGTGATTGTTAATATAAAATTAAAAACGTGTTACAGTGTATCAGGAAATTTTTTATGTTTTAAAAAATTGCACATGATTCAATTTTTATGTAATAAAACTGTGTCATGTATCATTAAATGTGGGCATATGCGTGATCAAATTTTTGTGAATTTCTAATGTTGTAAAATTAAATTCATAATTATGGTAAAAAAAACTAAAAATTTATAGACAGACGGTATAGTTATTACTTTTATTGCAACAGCTCTTTGCTGGGTCTTTGAAAAGAACAAAACCTTTAAAATTATTAAAAATCATATCCTTATAATAATTTCATTATATTTTTGTACTTTCTGCGGAGATTGAATCTTCTGAAGATCCATAATACCCAAATTCCCAATTCTAAAAATAGCACAAGTGTTACTAATAATAGAACTGTTACTATAGTAGCTCACTCAGCGTCAATAAAAACTTTGTTTTGTGTCATCTTAACCTTTGTCATCAAATCTATCAAGAAAGATTACAAATACATGTGAATTTCGAAATTACACAGCTCACTTGACAAATTCCCTTTAATTAGAGTCTTATCGCCTTTGACGAGTTCAAGTGAAACTTGACCCAACGCAACATCGAGATTTAACTTGGTCACTTGACTATGATCAAGACGTCCAACTCTTATACCTTTAACAAATAATTAAAAATAAAAGTATATGTACATGTACATGTACTTTTCTCTTCTTTCTCCCCTCTCCCCCCCCCTCTCTCTCTCCCTCTCTCTCTCTCTCTCTCTCTCTCTCTCTCTCTCTCTCTCTCTCTCCCTCTCTCTCCCTCCCTCTCTCCTC